ATCATGACCTGAGCCGAAGGCAGCCGCTTAACTGACTGAGCCACCCAGGTGCCCCTGGGAAGGTCTTTATTTAAGGATAGCTTTGCTGCTTACAGAATTAAAAATTTTTTTTTTTTAAGATTTTATTTATTTTGACAGAGAGACAGAGAGGCACAGCGAGAGAAGGAACACAAGCAGGGGGAGTGGGAGAGGGAGAAGCAGGCACCTGGCTAAGCAGGGAGCCCAATGCGGGGCTCAATCCCAGGACCCTGGGATCATGACCTGAGCCGAAGGCAGACGCTTAACGACGGAGCCACCCAGGCGCCCCGCTGCTTACAGAATTAATTCTTGGTGGACAGTTTTTATCTTTTCAGCACTTTGAATATGTCATTCTGGTTTCTGGTCTCCCTTGTTTCTGATAAGAACTTAGCTATTAATCTTATTGTTGTTCTCTTGTCCTTGATGAGTCCATTTTCTTTTGATACTTTCAAGATTTTTCTCCTTCCGAGATAGACGAGATCCGGCGCCTTCAGGCTGGTATGGCGATAGACTTGTTAACAGTTTAACTGTGACTTGTTGAGTAACTTTGATCTGTAGATTTATGTTTTTCATAAAATTTGGTAAGTTTTCTGTCATTATTTTATTTTATTTTTTTTAAAGATTTTATTTATTTGACAGAGAGAGACACAGCGAGAGAGGGAACACAAGCAGGGGGAGCGCGAGAGGGAGAAGCAGGCTTCCTGCGGAGCAAGGAGCCCAATGCGGGGCTGGATCCCAGGACCCTGGGATCACGACCTGAGCCGAAGGCAGACGCCCAGCGACTGAACCACCCAGGCGCCCCTTCTGTCATTATTTTAAGCATTTTTTTCTGTCCTTTCTCTCTTGCCTTCCTGGGGTTCTCATTACATAGATGTTGATACACTTGATATTGTCTCATAGGTCATAGGTCTCTGAGTCACTATTCTTTTTTTTTATCCTGATCTTCAGAATGAATAATCTCAGTTGATATTTCTTCAGGTTAACTGCTTCTTTCTTCTGTCATCTCAAATTTGCTTCTGAGCCTGTTAGTGAATTCTTTATTTTGGTTACTGTATTTTACAACTCTAGAAATTCCATTTAGCTTTTTAATGTTTTTATTTCTGTATTCAAATTCCATAGTTGTGAAGACATTGTCGTCATATTTTCCTTTAGGTCTCTATAAATTTTATATTTTAAAGATTTTATTAATTATTTATTTTGAGTAATCTCTACCCCCAACGTGGGGCTCGAACTCACAACCCTGAGATCAAGAGTTGCATGCGCGGGCGCCTGGGTGGCTCAGATGGTTAAGCGTCTGCCTTCGGCTCAGGTCATGATTCCAGGGTCCTGGGATCGAGTCCCGCATCGGGCTCCCTGCTCCGTGGG